ACAGAAGACAACAATCTTTGATGGTTTCATGGGTGGGCAGGGAGGGTGAGGGTTATTCAGCAATTAGTAGACAAGTATTATCTTAGGTGAAGGGAAGGACAGCACATCCTACAGGCGAAGTCAGCACAACTGGACTACACCAAAGCTAAGAAGTTTCCTGAATACAACCAAACACTTTGAGGGACAGAGTAGCAGGGGTAGAGGGCTGGGGACCATGCTTTCAGGGGACATCTAGGTCAGCTGGCATAACAAAGCTTATTAAGAAAATGTTCTGCATCCTACTTTGGTGAGTGGTGTCTTAAAAGCTTGCAAGTGGTCATGTAAGAAGCATCAACTGGTCCCAACCACCTGGAGTAAAGGAGAATGAAGAACACCAAAGACACAAGGCAAGTATTAGCCCAAGAGACAGAAAGGGCCACATAAACCAGAGAATTCATCATCCTGAGACCAGAAGAACTACATGGGGCCCGGGTACTACCAATGACCACCCTGACAGGGAATACAACAGAGAGTCCCAGACGGAACAGGAGAAAGGTGAGGTGCAGAATTCAAATTCTAGGAAGAAGACCAGACTTAATGGTCTGACTGAGACTGGAGGAACCGCGGAAAGCATGTCCCCCGGATCCTCTATCAGCCCAGAATTAAAACAATTTCGAGGCCAACTCTTCAGACAGAGATTGGACTAGACAGTGGGACATAAAGTGATACTCGTGAGGAGTGTGCCTCTTAGCTCAAGGAGATACAAGAGACTAAATGGGCAGCTTCTGTCCAGAGGTGAGATGGGAAGGTAGAAAGAGTTAGGAGCTGGGTGAATGGACATGGGGAATCACGGGTGGAAAGGAGGAGTGCACTGTCACAGTAAGGGGAGAACAATTAGGGTCACGTAACAATGTATATATAAAGTTTTGTATGGGAGACTAACTTCAAATGTAAACTTCATTTAAGCTACAACAATTAAACAAAAAAGATTTTGGACTAGGAAAATATGAGGCAATTCTACTCTGTCCTATAGCATAACTATGAGTCGGAATCGACTCAACGGCACAGAAGAACAACACATATGAGAGAACAGACATGGAGCTAGTCACACGGGGTGGGGGGGCAGGGAGACACCACGTGAAGATACCATCGCCAAGCCAAGGAATCGGTGTGCCAGAAGCTGAAAGAGACAAGGAAGGATCTTCCTCTAGAGCCTTCAGAGAAAGCACAGCCCTGCTGATGCCGTGAAATCAGACTTCCAGCCTCCAGAACCATGAGACATGAATTTCTGTTCCTCAGAGTCCTTACTTTGTACAGTTCTGTTGTGGCAGCATTAGACACTAAGACAAAAAAACCAAAAACCAAACCCACTGCCGTAGTCAATTCCGAGTCATAGTGACCCTACAGGAGAGAGTAGAACTGCCCCATAGAGTTTCCAAGGAGCGGCTGCTGAATTCCAACTGCCAACTTTTTGGTTAGCAGTCAAGCTCTTAACCACTGCGCCACCATGGCTCCATATGACACTAAGACAGGAAGCTTTAAAAAATTACCATCTGGGCTCATCCGTGACCAATCAGGTCAGAGTCTCAGGGGTGCACACCAGGCACTCGTGTTCTGAACACCCCACTATCAGAGCCATCATGCAAGGTAGGGACCTCGGATGGCCCCACCAGGAGGCTAGGCGCTGTGGAAATGGGAATAACCCCTCCTTGGAGAATTCTTGAGTGCTGCCTGCCTTTGCTGAGCCAGTCTTGAGTCCCCAGCACACAGCAGGAGCCCAGTGAGTGTGGGGTTCGGCCCTTCCGCTTTATGTCCTCCCCCCACCGCAGCTTGGACCTGACCACGGTGACTGACCCATGCCCCTGGAGGCAGTCTCTTGATGTCCCTAGCAAGGCCGGGGTCACACTTAGAGAAGCCAGAGAGAAGAGGGCCTCCTCATGCCCACACGACAGGATCGCTCGGGTGACCCCACAGCCCTGGGCGGTGCCCACAGGCTGACTGGGAATACACAGGAATCCTTAAGAAACTTCACACAAACTCAAGGGGCCCAGTTTCCAAATGTGAATCCTCCCCATGCAAACCCCTCGTGGTTTTTCAGCTGAACTGCCCAGTTCTCTGTCTGGGATCCTTGTCTATGGACAGGGTCCAGCCCAACCTCCCTCCTGCCACCCACTGATGCACAGCACCGATGGGACTCTCCTCCACAGGTCATGGCCCTGCTCTCGGAGTTCTTCCTCCTCCACAAACAGCCTCCATCACGCCTGTGAGCCCACCATGCTGCCTCAGGCCAATCAGTTCCACAGAAGAATGTGCGGCCCTGGAACGCAGGAATCCTGAACTCTGGACAGGTGAGAGGCCCGCACCAGGGAGTGAGTGGGGAGGTTCTCACCTGGGGGAAGGTGCAGCTTGTACAGCACTTTCAGCTTCTCTGTCAGGTCCCCATGGTACATCCCACCTGTGGAGAAAGCCCAGAAGAGGGCCCACTGGTGAAGGCTCCAAGGCCTTGCTGCTGGCCTCACTCAGGGCACCTCCCTTTTGGTGGGGAGCCTGCTCACAGCCTGGCCCCCGGAGCCCTGTCTCCTGCTTCCCCACGTGCCCTGCTAGAACACCCAGCCCTCCTCTAGGCCTGCAGACCTGGGCTCAGGCAGGCCCTGGGCTGAGTTAGGGAGGGGAGGTGAAAGGAGGGGAACCCACTGATGTCTGCTTATCTCTGGCAGGCACCTCGTCAATGGAGGAGGGCTCACGGCTGCCCTCTGCTGGCTACAGTGGGGTGAATGGGCCAGGGCAGGCACTGGAAAGAGCTTCTTCGGGAAGGCAAGGGTAGGGACCGTGCCCAGAAGCACTCACTCATGCCTGTCACGAACTCCTTGAAGTTGATGAGCAAGTCCTTGTTCTTGTCCAGGAGCCGGAACATGCGCCCTGCCAGCACGGGTGTGTGCGAGCCACAGGCCCAGGGTGTCAGGCTGATGAAGAGCTCCTGGAACTGGCTGGCGTCGATCCGGTACTGCTCCAGGTAGGGCAAGCTGGGGTCCCTACGGATGGCGGCGGTGCAGCTGCCCCCCCAGTACTGACTCGCCAGGTGCTTGGCCTGCAGGGCACACAGTTCGGTGAGTGGCTTGCCCAGGCTGTTAGGACAGCTGGGGTGGTCAGCTGGTGTGTCCAACCCTCCTCTGTCCAGCCCCAAGGGCGGTGAGCACCGGGCCAGACACTTAGCACCTTCATAGAACCTCTCATGGAGGGGCCACTAGCCCCGTGTTTACAGACAGGGGAGCTGACAGAGCACTTGGCAGCCCGTGCAGTGGGCCACTGCAGGCCACGGCCACAATGGTTCACGGCCACAGCAGGTCATGGCCACGACAGGCAAATGAAGAGCTAGGGCTTGATTCTTCTGACCTAAGGCCACAGCACTGCAGCCACCTCATGGACTGAACTAAAGGCAGCCAAAGAAACAAAAGGGAAGTAGCAAAGAGAGGAAAGGCAGTGTGGCGTTTGCTGTTTTTACTCCTTCTTCAGCACCCTTTCTCCTTCTTCTGTTAACAGCACCTCAAATTTTCTTGGGGAACCCTCTTGTCCCACCCTCAGACTGTGGGTTGAGAGGGCCACTGACCAGTCCTGCCGCTGGTGACGGGTCGGGTGGGAGCACCTGGGGCTGCCTAGCAGAAGACGCCATCCTCTGGCCAGAGGACATGTTTTAGGAAAGGGCATCTAACTTGCGTAAGTCCAACAACCGATCCTGGGTCCTTTGCTAAAACCACCTGGAAGGAAAAATTCTCTTTCCACTGGGGTTACTGAGAGGATGGGATGACCCCAGAGCTACTGCCGACATCCTGCCACTTTGCAGGAAGGGTAATCTGGGGAACATGTGAAGCAGGGATGACTAACAGAACATTTGAGCACCTGGATCCAGCCATGCCTGAGGCTGTCCAATCCTAGACTTTTTAGTTATATGAGCTGATCTGTTCTCTCTTCTTGATTTGATTTTATGTTCCCTGAAGCAGCATCCTGACTAACTCCAAGAATGACTAAATTCTACCATGTGAGATTCATGATTACTGCATTGAAACATGGTTTAGAATCTACCTCCCTCCTGGCAGGAGGCTGCTATGCTGAGGATGCATTTAGCGGACCAGGATGGGGCACTAATCCTCACTGCCTTGGCGGGGGCGGGGGGGTGTGACGGTGCCGCGGCATGCGCTTGCTCTTGGCTGTCACCTTAAACACCATGTACAGGTCCTCCAGCTCTTCAATTGAGAAGCCAATGTCTCCAGGTATAGCTCGGACCTAGGAGGAAAGAGAAAGAGGATGCACTGGTGGATTCTCAAGTTCCTACTCTGGTAAAAATGAGACACTGAGACAATAATCACCCTGTGGATGATAGACACCAACCACCCTTTCAGTGTCTCCAGCTGGACATACACGAGGGTGGTCCAGTGGCCACGGGCTATTCAGGAGCAAGGGCATGGTCTCCATGCCTACCCCTCATCACCCAGTCAGGTCACACTCCCCGAGCTCCTTCTTGGGGTGGGTACAGGGGAACCTCGGTGTGGCCTGGGGTCAGCCTTTCTCTACTGGACATGGAGTGAGGAGTAGTCATTCAGCTCCTGCTGCACGGATCCCTAGAAAGACCCTGGTATGGGATCTAGGGAAGGTGTTTCAGAATTTTCGAGATAATTCCTCTTTTACTTTAGTCAGAGTCGGTTTCTGGTACTTGGGACCAAAGTGCTCTCACAGCTACAGGCCTGAAGAGAAGAGTTGGGAATACTGAGACGAAGTAAGAAGTCCCTGGCTTGCGGGGGTGGTGGGGGCAGAGAGACTGTGAACAGATCATGGCAGCACAGGGTGGCAGATGCTGGGCAGAGAGCACCCCCAGAGATGACCTGACCCCTTCCAGAGATGAGAAGGCTTAAGGTGGAGACACAGCATGCTGGGCGGCAAATGGTGGTGACCACAGGGGAAGGGACAAAAGCCAGGCTGGGAGGGCACGGCCTGCAAGTAGTGGGGCATCGAAGGCATTTTTCCACGGACTAACCCATGAGCAGAAAAATGACTGAGACCTTTCCCGCTGCCACAAATTCATGCCTACATCCCTGGATTCCAGTCACACAGTGCATCCTCAAATGGAGACCCAAGACACCCAGGCAGGCTCCCACGCAGAGCTCTGCAGTCTACCCCACTCACAAAGGGGTCTGGAGTGTGGAGCAGCCCTCTGCCCAGCTGCCACCCTACCCCGACCCCTGCCTGCAGCTGAGAAACAGAGCCTCGTCCATACCACTCCAGCCCTGCATGCAACCGAGGAACAGAGCTTCGTCCATACTACCCCACCCGTGCCTGTGGCCTGCGCACCGGAGCCTTGTCCATACTGCCCCACCCCTGCCCGCAGCCTGAGGACTACAGCCTCGGAGACTCATCCATACCACCCCACCCCTGCCTGCAGCCCGAGGACTGGAGCCTCATCCATACCACGCTCCGCTTGGCCGTGTCCTCCAAGGACTGGATCACTTTCAGCCTCTGTTTAAACCGCATCTGTTCAATGTCGTTGGCCCGCAGGCTGCTGAATTTCTACAGGCCAGAGGGGACTCAGTGAGACAAGGCATGACTATGGTGCTGAGCCACTGCCCACCTTCTCACTGCCGCGTGGAGACCACGAGCCCTGGAGTACCCTGGCTTACTGTCCCCAGGAGTGCTGACCTCATACGACACTTTTAGGAGCTCAAAGATGTCCACCTCTACAGGAGGGTCGTCACCACTGGTCAGCAAGGCATGGAGGTGTGGGATAGGAGGAGAAACACTCTGCTTGTTAACTACATTATCCAGGTATCTGCAGTGTTACAGGACAAAAGGTAGCTATCAGTCTAGACAACCCATAGACACAGGGCCCTTGTCTGCACGTAGACTCCCATTGAATGAGAGCACAGAGGACTGGGATTCCTCCTGGGAGGCAGGAAATGGGCCTAGGAGGGGAGAGGCATGCCTTGGCAAGGCAGGATCTCCCCGAGGCCTGGACAGAGAAGTCCCACCATGAGGCACGAGCACCAACTCTGAAGAGGTAAGGTCACCTTCTGGGGCTGCATGGGCAGGAATCCTTTATAGGCCCAGACCCCACCACACCACGACAAAGGCTTGTCCCAGTTGGAGGGGCAGAGGCTGACCTGGATTTGGAGGCCCAGGGCACGGACAGAGCTACAACGGCCTCTGCTGCTACATGACTATAAGTCAAGCCACAGGTGCCCCTGGGGCCTGGGAGGAGCCTTCTCCTTCTTGCCCTGCTGAGCCACTGCCTGCCCCAGCTGGGAAGAACCAGGGACCACAGAAGCAAGTCCTAGAAACAAAGGTAGTGGGGAAGGGCCCTGCTGTGGCAGTGTCTGCGAGTCACAGCCTCCAACAGTAACCAGGTGCCGTACTAACTGGCCCAGCTTTATCCCCGGCCGCCCAGCTCCTGAAGAGGGCCCAGTCTGTGTAGTAGTGACCAGCCACAGACTCTGGTCATTGGTCAAGTGGGCTGGCATGAATGTGGACAAAACGCTATCAGAGCCCAGAGCAGGGAGGTGTCATCCCTGCAGAATCGCAGAGCCCCAGTCAGGAGATGCCCGGGCTGGCTCCATGGCAGCAAACACGCAGGAACAGGCAGGACTGTGCAGACACAGAGCATGGGGCCGAGCGAGGCTGGGAGGGGCTGGAGGAGGCCAGGCTGGAGAACTCAGACAGTTCCTTCCTACAGGAGCCAGCAGTGGCATATAGGCAGGGGAAGAGCAGGGTCAGATCCTGGTTAGAAAGAGATCCAGGGGACACCGGCAGGTGAGTGCCCAGAGGCAGGGAAACCCTGTGAGTGATGGCACATGGGACTCAGAGGCCCAAGCTGTAAGCAGGACGGCTGGGTGTCACCATGTTCACTGTTGCAGGAGCCCATGGAGCCACTCCTTCGGGTGTAGGGGGCATTGCTGCCGAGCCAGGGAAGCACAAGCAGGCTGCTCTCTGGACCCCATGGCACCCTGTCTCCCCCAGCCACAGGCCTGCTCTCCCAGCCGTCTCCCGACCACCAGTGTGAGTCACCTTGTTTGGGCCTTGGCTCCCGGCCATGCCCTCAGAAAGTAGCTATGGCTGTGTGACGGCCCCACCTGCCGCGCTCTCACCCACTGCCCTGCTGTAGTTTCCCCAGTACTTATTGGTCCCCAGGTGGAAGCTCTCTCCTGCCCTGGGAGTGGCCTGGCACATGGTGGGCACGGTTACTGCGAGGGGTGGGCTCTGCCACCCATGGGATAGTGTGCAGCAGCTCCCTGGCAGGAGGGAGGTGGAGCGGGTGGCGGTCACCTGCCCAGGACAGTCATGGCCTCGCCCTCATCACTGCAGACCAGAAGCTGCTCCATGTTGGCATCCAGGATGGCCAAGGCCACTTGCAGGACCACCTTGATGCCCTCATAGAAGAAGCAGTCGACAATAATCACGGCGCTCTCGAAGGGCATGACGCTGAGGAAGAGGGTCAGGAACCAAGACAGCGAGATGCTGGAGATCACCCCCAGGTCTTGCATCTTCTCCGACAGCTGTGGCAGGAAGTCTCTTGTAAGCTCCTCGAAGATGCCTTGGTCCACCAAGGCACCTGCAGAGAGGATGGAGGAATCTGAATGGGCTCCCAGGCCCGAGGCCATAAGTGGATGTGTGTGGAACCCTAGGACCTGAGGGACAGCAAGCTGTCCAGCCTCACTCACCCACCCCTGCCCTAGCCAGTTCCATGTATGTTGAGTGGCTGAAGGGGACAGGGAGGGAGAGAAAAATGACAAGAAAAACAAACCCTGTAAGTATTCTTTCTACAACTTCGTATTATTGTGTGCAAAGAACTACTTCTTCTGTTACACTTGGTTTTTCTTTTGGGGAAATTTTCCCTAAAAGAGCCATAGTAAACAATGGCCATGGTGATTTCCCTGTGTCCTAATTCTTGTGAAATAGGATGAGACTCTAAAGGACTCAAAGAATGCTAATTCCGAAAACCAAACGGCAGGTATTATGGATTGAACTGTGCTCCCCAAAAAGGTATGTTGAAATCCTAACCCTTGTACCTGGGAACGTGACCTTGATTTGGGAAATAGGAATTTTCTGCACAGACATTATAAGTTAGGTTAACATGAGGTCATACTGGAGTAGGGTGGATCCTAATCCCTTCTCAGTGGTGTTTTATAAAAAGGGAGAAGAGACATAGAGTCACACAGGGGAAAGACAGCCATGTGAGGATCATCTCCAAGCCAAGGAACGCCAAGAAACGCCTGGGGCTACAAGAAAATGAAAGAGACAAGGAAAGATCTTCCTCTACGGCTGAAAGAGAGAGAGCATGGCCCTGCTGATACCTTGACTTTGGACTTCTAACCTCCAGAACTGTGAGAAAATAACTTCTGTTCTTTAAAGCCACTCACTTTGTAGTTATTTTGTTATGGCAGAGTTAGGGGAAGGACATCTTTGAATAACAGACTCAATTACACACATGATTACATAAATGCACAAACCAATTTCCACTGAATAACCCAGATTTCACGGGCTGTGAGTTCATAATGGAAACCCTGGTGTTATAGCGATTAAGTGCTACAGCTGCTTATCCAAAAGGTCGGCAGTTCAAATCCACCAGCTGCTCCTTGGAAACTCTATGGGGCAGTTCTACTCTGTCCTACAGGGTCACTATGAGTCAGAAACGACTCGATGGCAATGGGCTTGGACTTGAGTTCATAATTATTGAAGCCGGGTACTAGGTATAAGGTTTACTATGCTCACTACTTGTGTATGTTTAAAAATTTTCTATAATAAAAAAGCTTTTAAAAAGTGAGTCAGATGGGAATTTAGGCCCGAAACAGACATTTAAAAACACGGAACATGTGCTATCTTCTATCACTGCCAGTCACTTGCAGGGATTCACACAAAGTCTTGGCTAGTGTGTCAGGTGGTTGGGGGCTATCTTTGGCCCTCCACTTTCACTGTGTGACTGTCTCAGTTGCCTGATCTGCAGATGGGAACCGTGACTGCACGCAGCCCACAGGACAGCGGTGGGGCCTGTGTGAGCTCATGCAGAGAGCGCTCAGCACGGTACCTGGCCAGGGGAGGCTACCAGCCCACGGAGAGCCATCAGGCAGCTGGAGCCTCAACTCAGGGCTGGGGGAGGGTGGAGGGGCACGCCTCCTTCTCCCCTTGGCCAGCCCTCGGGACACTCACCCACCACCCTGGTGTTGTAGTAGTCGGGCAGCATCCGCTCGCAAAGGGCCACCAGCAGCCAGAAGGCCTCCTCCTCACTGCCATAGAGCAGGAGCACGGACGTCACAATGTTCATGGCCTGCAGGCACACATACAGGCAAGGGCAGGTGACTGAACTGTGTCTCCCTAAAAGATCTGTGAAGTTCTAACCCCTGTACCTGTAAATATAACCCTGTTTGGAAATAGGGCTTTTTTGTTATGTTAATAACGGCATACCAGAGTAGGGTGGGTCCTAAATCTAATCCCTTCTGAGTGGTGTTTCATAAAGGGGAGAGCAGAAACAGAGAGACACACAGAGGGAGAAGCCATGTGAAGATGGAGGCAGGTGCATCCACAAGCCCAGGAGCCCCAAGGATTACAGACGGCTACTAGAAGCTGAAAGAGACAAAGAAGAAGCTTCCTTTACAGTTGATGCCTTGAATTTGGACTCCCAACCTCCAGAGCTGTGAGAACATAAATTTCTGGTCTTCAAAGCTGCTTATTTGTGGTATTTTTGTTACAGCAGCACTAGGTAACTAAGACAGTAAGGGTCACATGATTGGCTACCAAGTCAAACTGCCTCCCCTGCCTCTGCTGAAGGGGGCCGCACCAGCTTTCCTCTACAAGCAAGTCTGCCCCTTCAGGGGCACCCGGGATCCAGCATGGAGAAACTAAGGTAATGTGCAGGAAATTGATTTGACAATAGCAGTCAGAAGCCACCCTCAAACGGGGCCAGAGGCCCTGAGAAACCAGAGAGGGTAGGACATTAGCACAGAACACTTCTGTGGAGCTGCATCTGATACCTGGGTGAGAAGCAGAGCCAAGCTGATGTGTGACTGCACTAGACAGCCAGATCCCCACACCATGGACGCAAGGGGGCACAACAAACTAAGGCCTCACGGAGCTTCTAACTCGCAGAGAGACTTTTAAGGAAAAGCTCTTATCAGTTGACAAACTATTAAACTGATTTTCAGCACACTGGCTTTCTATGAATGAGTAACTGGTCATTCAGAAGGTGGGTTCTATAGAAACGATTTTTGGGGAGTTGGCCTGCATCCCTGAGACCCAGATGCAGGCGAGGGCAAGGAGAAGCCATGTGACATGGCCAGGAATGCTCACAAGATTTAAAATCAAATGCTGCCAGGACCGAGACTAGAAGCACATAAAGGACAACTTAGTATATGACATGGGGATGAGACAAGCAATTTATATATACACATACAGACATATATACAGACATACATGCATGCACCTATTTTCCCTTCGGGTTCCCCATGTCTTTTAAAGGAAATTTTATTGTGGTAAAATATATAAACATGAAATGTACCATTTTAACCATTTTTAAGTGTACATTTCAGTGGCATTCAATTCCATAATGGTGTGCAACCATCACCACTATTTATTTCCAAAATTTTTCATCACCCCAAACAGAAACTTGGTACCTATTAAAGCAATAACTCCCTATTCCCCATCCCCATAATACCTATTTTTTTCCCCTACATCATAATTTTTATTTAACTATCCTTCCCCTACTGGATATAAGCTCTTGAAGGGCAGGAAGGGCAGGGGCTGTGCTTGATACACAGTGGGTATTCTATTAAGTTCTTTGTTTTTTAAATTGTGGTGCATATATATGTAACAAAACATTTACCATTTCAACATTATTTGACATGTACAATTTAGTGACATTAATTACATTCATCATGTTGTTCAACCATCATCACTATCTGTTTCCAGATTTTCCCATCACCCTTAACAGAAACTCAGTGCCCCCTAAGCAAAGACTCCCTTTTCCCCTCCCTCCCGCCCCTGGTAACCACGAATAAGCTTTGGCTTCTATGCATTTGCCTATTTTAGATATTTCAAATAAGTGAAATCATACATGATGTGTCCTTTTGGGGCTGACTTACTTCACTCAGCATGTTTTCAAGGTTCATCCATGCTGTAGCATATACTATAATACTGTTTGGACTCTCTTCCTGGGAGCATGGTTGCAGGCCTAAGCCATGGGGACCTGCTCCTGGGTACCTTGATGGGGACATGCTGTTTCCAGGCCCTGCCAGGCCCCTTACCTGGCAGTAGCCAATAGTGGGGTTTCGGAAGGCATAGGCGGTCAGCACCCGACGGAGGGCTGCAATCCCGAGCTCGTTCTGGAAGGCGGGGTGCTCTGGCATGGAGCGGTGCAGGTCTCGCTCGATCTCCTCCGTGGCCAGGCTGTATTTCCCCGTGGACTTCTCCACCAGCTCGGCATAGTAGCCGGGGTGAGTCACCATCTCGTTCCAGGCCCCTGCAGAGACAGAGGCAGCTGTCTCTCTACGCCTCTGGTACTTCAGGGACCACAGCAGGGCAGGCTGGAGATGTCAGTGTACCCCAGTGGAGGGGAACCTTCAGGGTCAGTTACAAGGTGTGGGCAGAGCTTCCCGTATGCACCTAGGAAGATGCATCCACCCAGGAAGTTCCAATGGCTGAATAGCCCTCCCCCTGAAGCCCTCTGAGCAGCCCAGAGTGCAAATGTTGCCTGCGTCTGTCCCAAAGGAAGGAGGCTCAGGGAGACTGCTCAGCCCACTGCAGGCTGAAAGCAGCCCTGGGCTGACAGAATGCCCACCCTTGGCATCTGTTCCTCAGGACCCCTCCTGGCTGGAGCCTGGGATAGGCCGCCCCACTGCTTGGAGCTCTGACTTCCTCTCTGGAGTAGGGGGCAGTAGTACCCACCTGGCCACCCCAGGAGGTGGGCCAAGGACCAATGAGCTAATGCAGGAGGGGAGCGTGTAGGCTGTGCATGCTGTGCGCGGCTAGGCGTGAGCCTGCTCACCAGAGAAGAGGAGCCACAGCTCCCCCCGCAGGCCCTCGGGGATGCCCTTCAGGACCAGCTCCCGGGTCCTGGCGGTGCGGTACATGCACATGCCGCGCCCGTACTCGAAGAAGTGAATGTTCCACGACTCCTCCTTCATCTTCTCCTTGGCCTGAGGGAAAGGAGACTGAGGCTTGTGGGCAAGGCACCACCACCTCAACAGGATGGTTTCGGAGTGCTCAGGCCTGGATGACAAAGCCCATCCCCCCAGCAGTGCTGGAAGCCTCCCACGTAAATCATCTACACGGGCTGACCAGCAACCTCAGATTTCATAGTCACTACCAGAAAAGCGCAGGCCAGGCCCAGGCTGAACTGGCCACATACCCTCCTAAGTCATCGGGAAAGACGACGCATCACTCAGAAGCTGGGGGCCTCCTCTTTCAGAGCTCTAGAGCCACACAGTGAGATCACCCACCCACCCACCGAGAGCTGGGCTGTTGGCCAACACTGATCATCCAGGGCCCCGTCGCACAGTCCCAGCAGGGCACTGCCCACAGTCAGCCTGGAGGAGGCCTGGTGGAGGCCAAGCCAGCTGTCAGGCACAGCCCCCAGGCTGACCCAGTCTTGCCCTGACTGATTGCTGCTCCCACCCGTGCCCTCGTCCAAAGCACCAACCTCAGCACTTACCCCTTTGGCCCCCAGGACCTCCGTGGACGAGTTTCTCTGGAAGAGCTTGAGCAGGCCCTGGGATGCAGTTGGCACCTGTGTACAGATACTCCGGCAGCCACTGAGGGTGGAGGATGGGCTGGCAGGCTGCTCCAAAACATCCTGAGCAGCTGAGGGAGACTAGAAAATAAAACAGAGAAGGGGAGCACCTAACAACTGAGCCGCCTTCTGTGTGTACGTCAAACCACAAAGGTAGACCAAGTCACCTGTCGAGGAAGGGTTCTGGTGGGGTGCGTGGTGCAGAAACAGAGAAGAACAAGGCTTGGCAGGCAGGAGGGCCTGGTGGCGTCTCTGTGGCAGCAGCCTGGTGCGCATCTCCTCTCTGGCCAGCTGCACACCTACACTCGCCCTCCCTGTAACCTAGGCTAACTACAACGGTAAGTCAGGGCCCCTGCTGTTCAGGCCTTCTCCAGGCAGAGAGAAGACCCCTCCTCCTGAAGCTGCTCCTGACCCCTCGTTAAGCCTGGGCGCCCCCTGCAGGGCAAGGCTGTCAGTGCAGGCAGCCCAACTCATCGCCTGCTTCTGATCTTTGCTTCTTGTTCCCTGGGGCCCCTTCCTCCTTCTGCTGATCCTCTGCATTGGGCAGCTGCCATTGGTACCTGCCCTGTGCACACTGCCCTGATTTCTTGCTGGCCCCAGGAAGCAGCAGTGCTGAGCCCTTGGGCACGAGAGGTGGCCCACACTCAGACCCAGCCTGTCTGAGCACCACCCTCCCCCCTGCCCACTGCAGTGCCCAGTTCAGGTGTGGGATTCGAGCCATGCCTGTTGGGACTGTCGGGTGACAGAACATAGCAGGAGGGGAGTAGGACTCTGGAGGTCCTGAGGCCCCCAGGAGCCCAGGCACAGAGCCCCTGGGGAAGGCTGAGCAGAGGCATGGACCGCAAGCATGGTGAGTGCATACAGGGTATGCAATCAGCAAAAACCAGACTGCAAGAAACTCTCCTGCACAAATGACCCGATTCCTTCAATAAAATACTTCAAAAGAGACAGAGATAGAAAGAAATGGAAAAGAAACATATAGATTAAAAGGAATTTAAGAGACAGACTAGGAGGAAAAGCCTGGTGATCTGCTTCTGAAAAATCAGCCAAAGAAAGCCCAATGGATCACAACGGTCCAATTCCACTGTGCATAGGGTCGCTGTAAGTTGGGGCCCAACTTAACAGCAGCTAACAACAACGAGAGACACATCAACCAATCATAATGTATGCGTGGCCTGTATGTATTTCAGTTCAAACAATCAAACTATAGAAAGTATATCTACAGTTGGAGAAATGTGAATACAAGTATCTGATGATACTAAGGAATTACTGTGAATTTTGTCAGTATAAGGAGAAATGTGAATACAAGTATCTCATGATACTAGGGAATTACTGTTAATTTTGTTAGTATAATAATGGTACTGCAGTTAAGTCTTTAAAGAGGGGTCCTTGCCTCCAGAACAACTGCCTCCTTTGCCATGAGACCAGAAGAACTGGACGGTGCCTGGCTACCATTACTGAAGATTTTGATCAAAGACTCTACAGAAGAATCCTGATCAAAAGGGTAAAAATGCAGAGCAGAATTTCAAATTCTCATGGACTCTAGACTTTTTGGAGCCATGGAGGCTGGATGGACCCCTGAAATTATTGCCTTGAGATAATCTTTAAACCTTAAACCAAAAATATTCCCTGAAGTCTTCTTAAGAACCAAACAATAGTTCAGCTTAACTACTAAAAGCTATTTGCCTTGAGCATTATGCTCTTTTAAGAACTAACTATATAGAATCAAACTGACAACAGCAACTCAAAAGATTAGATAGGAACCTTAGGGGGCAGTAAGTTTATGTAATGGGGGAGGAACAACTCAGAGAAGGAGGGTGAGAATGGTTGCACAACTTGAAAAATGTAATCAATGTCACTGAATTGTACATGTAGAAACCATTGAATTGGTGAATGTTTTACTGTCTATATTCTGAACAACAAAATAAATTTTTTAAAAAAAAGGTCTTTATCTGTAAGCACTCCATACTGTATGACTGACAGCTGAAACAACAGGTAGACAAACCCAAGGTGAACAAGCCAAGCCAAACCAAACCCGCTGGCAGGCCCCTCTGGCCTGCAGACTGCCAGTCAACAGCCTCTAGCCCACCAGCGGTCCCTGGGATCTGGGATATCTTATGGGTTCAGACACATCACTGTTGTTGTTAAGTGCCACTGAGTCAGTTCCAACTCACAGCGACCCCATGCACAACAGAACGAAACACTGCCCGGTCCTGTGCCATCCTCACAATTGTTGCTATGTTTGAGCCCATTGTTGCAGTCACTGCATCAATCCATCTCATTGAGGGTCTTCCTCTTCTTTGCTGACCCTCTACCAAGAATGATGTCCTTCTCCAAGGACTGGTCCCTCCTGATAAGATTAGCACCCGTGAAAAACAAAGCACTGACTGAGACCTCAACAGTGTGGCTCTTGCTCTCAATGCAGCAGAAGTTCGTGAAGGATGGAGATGAGGCTGACTAGAGTTTTCTCATGTGAAATGGGACTTGAGGTGGGCATGGGAAGATGTGTGGGTGACGCTTAGGAGGAGACAGGACTCCAAGTGGGAGGAGAACCAGAGGTGTGGGCATGGTGCAGAGAGGCCTGTGACCTCAGTGATAGGTTGCTGGGCTTGAATTAGGCTCTTCTGACAGGACACAGAGTGGGGGCTCCTCCAGTCAGGGGCCCCCATCAGCTACCATGGGGTCAGGCTTCAGGGGAGGCCCAGGGCTGCTCCTGGCTCTTCTCCCAGCCCTGCCTCTCCTGAAGGCCCCCTCTCACCTCCGGAGTTGTGACTACAACGCTGGCCTTCCTCTCCCCAATGCTGCTGCCGGGCTGCTTGGAGGGCATTTTCTGGAGGAAGTCTGAGATCCTCTGAACCAGGAAATCCCGGTCTTTCAGGTTGGCAAACAGGAAGGTCATTTTACTCTTGGTGCTAATGGACAGAGGGCTGGGCAGGACACTGGAACTGTCAGCTTTTTCAACAATGGTCACCTGAAAAGGAAAGAATTCTCCCTTGGTTATTTGTGTCTTGGGGATATAAAGTTCGGCTTTTTTTTTTTTTTTTTTTTTTTTTCAGTATTGTGGGAAAGATTTATTTTCCACTTTTAAAAACTAAAAATTTCTTAGAGCAGAAAGTGGAGTTCACACATACACACGTCTCCTTATTATCAACATCTTACACTAGTATAAGTACATTTGTTGCAATTAATGAGCCAAGTTTGATACATTATTATTGACTAAAGTTCATGCTTTATTCAGATTTCCTTAGTTTTTACCTAACGTCCTTTTTCTGTCCCAGGATCCCATCCAGGATCCCGTGTTACATTTAGTTCTCATGTCTCCTTAAGCTCCTCTTGGCTGTGACAGTTTCTCAGACTTTCCTTGTTTGTGATACCTTGACAGTTTTGAGGAGTACAGGTCAGGCATTTGGTAGAATTTCTCTCTGCTGGGATTTGTCCGATGTTTTCCTCATGATTAGACTGGGGTTATGGGTTTTTGGGAGGAAGCCCACAGAGGTCAAGTGCCACTGTCATCACATCCTATCAAAGTACACACTGTTGACATGACTTATCACTGATGGTGCTGACCCTCATCACCTGGCTGGGCTAGTGTTCGTCACATTTTTCCACTGTGAAGTTACTCCCTCCCCCTTTCCACACTGTCCGCTTTGGAAGGAAGTCACTATGTGCAGCCCACACTTAGGAGTGGGGAGTCGTGCTCCACCTCCCTTAGGGTGGAGTATCTGCATAAATTATTGAGTTCTTTTGTCCAGGAGAAGGCCAGGCGTTTTTATGAACATGAGAAGACCTCTGTGGTCCTCAGACTGTCTTCCCTGAACACAGTGTGGTGAGTGGGAGGGCCCTGTTTTCCAGGCAAGACTGCATTCCTACCTCACTCTGCCACTTGCTGTCTGACCCTAAGCAAGCTGTCTGACCTCCTTAAGACTTGCTCTCTCACCTGTCAGTGGGGTGAGCACACTGCCCCACAGGGCTGTCAAAAGGATTCCAACGTAAAGTGTGGAGTTCCTGGTACAAATGATTAACATATCTGGCTGCTAACCTAAAGGTTGGAGGTTCGAGTCCACCCAGAGGCACCTTGGAAGAAAGGCCTGGTGATCTACTGCTGAAAAATCAACCACTGAAAAATCCTATGGAGCACAGTTCTACTCTGACACACGTGAGGCTGCTGTGAGTCGAAGCGGATTTGACAGCAACTGGTTTTAATGTAACATAAAGTACTGAGCCCAGCTGCTGGCACTTATTCGTGTTTAAAAGCCTACCAGCTCTTCCCTATTCCTAGAACACCACAAGCAGCCCCCGAGCTTGAACGCTTTCCCAGCCTTTGCTCCAAGCGAGCACTCTAACGGTACGTGCGCATGAACTCCGTAGTGCCCCCCTCTAAGGCATAGAGGGTCAGGACTGGCGTTTCTCCCTCTCCAAGGCGTGGAGGGTCAGGACTGGTGTTTCTGTGGGCGCCTCTGCAGAGCTGACTGTCCAGTGGGGCGAAGACTGCAGACCTACGTGAGCGGGTGGTGAGTGCAGTCCACAGGGGGAGGTGGGGAGGCGGAAGGCTGTGTTAGGCTGACAGCATCTCTAGAGAGAGAGCACGACTGGGCTGAGACCTCACAGCAGGGGGCTGGGGCAGAGGGCAAAGCAGCCAGCTGAGGTGGCAGTGACAGCAGCATGATGGAGAAGAAAAGGCCAGAAAGGCTGGGACAGAGTGAGCAAGGTGGGGCTAGGTCACTGAGGGTTTGTGGGTCACAGTGGGGAGCTGGGGATCACTCTAATCTGCAGGAAAAGATGCTGGAGGATCCTAAGCAAGCACCAACATGATCTGACTTCCATTTTAAATTACTTGGGCAGCTGCAGAAGAACAGGTCAGAGGTGTCAGGGTGCCATTAGGACACTCCTGAGGTGCTCGCGCAGAGGTGGGCATCTTAGGTGGTGGCCATGGACAGGAAGGAGCAGAGAGGGACTCAGGACATGCTTTGAGGAAGCCAACAGGACGGGCTATGGTTAGGAGTGGGAGATGAGGGGAGGGCGTTAAAGGATACCCTGCTTTTTAACCTAAGCAAACGGACAGAAGAAGGCCACTTCCAGAGAGGGGAGGAGGAGAACAACAAATTCAAGAGCCCACCAGACGTGCAGATGGAGCTGGCTCTCCCCCACAACACATCTAAACAGGCATCTGTGAGCAAGGGAGGTCCCAGAGGCCCCCTGGCTGGGAACCCAAGCAGCAGGCATGTTCAGGATGGTCAGTGCTGGGCCAGGGACCATCATCTCAACCTTTTGCAGAGCTGTGCTCCAAGATGCTGGGCCCAGCCTCAGTGTAAAGCAGTCCTGCTACCTCTCTGCCATCAAAAATGCCAAGGACCCATTATGAAAAATGGAATTGGGCCTAAGGAGTCAAGAACCCACTGTGCCTGGTGGCAAAAGAGAAGGGAGGGCGGGGCCACGTCTGAGTGCTGGAACTGTGGCTCTTTGAGTCCTTTGCCGCTGAATGCCCTCAGGGAAACTGAGGCAGCCGACTGTCTCATACCTGCTCACAGCTACACTGCAACTTAAGGGCTTTGCACAAATGCCAGGGAGATCTCACTGTTTTTCAGGATTTTAATAAAACCACAACACTGAGATTTCAGTAACAGCTGACAGTGAAAAGCCTTGCTGGCTTATGGCATTAAGCACCAGCCTTGCCTTGCTGACATGCGTCTGACGCAGAGTCTAAGTGGGGTCCTCTCCACTGCTGCCCAGACCCCTTCAACAAGGCCACTGAGTCAATGGCCTTCCATCCCCCAGGGTCACTAGGGAGCCCCACAAGCTCCAGAGTACATACTTGGACTTGGGGAGATGTGCCCTCTGAAGGCACGGTTGGGGCCTGAGCCATAGCCACGTGTGTGTGGGGGCAGGGACATGTGGGACTGTCCTCCCAGAGGTCACTGCAGGACAGGGTCCTCCAGCCCAGCTACGAGAGCAGGGCTCTGCCAAACCCCACCACAGGGCGGGGGAAGGCAGGGCTGACAGACACTGCACACGTGAGGAGGAAGCTTGGTCCTTCCCTTTCTGTTCCAGTGTATGCTCTCCTGGCATGGTCAATGCTCCCTGAGGCCCTCGTTGCTGTCTCCCCCGCTAGACAAGACAATCCCTGAAGGGTACCAGTGCATCCCACTTCCAGCCTTGAGCCTGGGGCCTGGCACAGGGCAGGTGCTCGAGGAGGGGCCAACTCAACCAGCTGGGCCCTTGTACACTGCCCCACGCTGAGCCAAGGCTCCTGGAAGCCACCACTAGGCATTCCCACCAGGGCCCCTGTGAGTCAGGCAGGTCTGGGAGGCCAGTCCACAGGCTGTCCACACCGACGCCCACCCCTCTGCAGCCTCTGTTCCTGAGCAGAAGGATCTCACCTCCCTCAGGGGTATGATGAGGTGGCAAGCATCCTCCTCCTTGCTGGCGAAGCAGATGTAGTTGTTGGAGATGAACATCTGGCCAGGGATGTGCAGCTTGTTGAAGGGCGTCCACAGAGTGCAGCCCGTGTGGCCATCCAGGCGCTCGTCCCTGGGCAGCCGGAAGGTGGCCCGGTAGCACTCATTCTTGGCGCGGGCATCCAGGTCTCTGGGGGGATGAACGAGAAGGTGCAAAGAGTCAGGGCCAGCACTAACATGAGGGAGCCCCAAGACCTCACTGGGACTCAGTTTCCTCATCTTTACAGTGAAGGGTAGAATTTAGGGTCTCTGGGGTCCTCTTGGGAGCAACACCTGACCAGGGACCTGAGTTCAGTAAAAATGTACCTTAAATTAGCAAGTCAAATGCGGGGTATTCATAAGACAAGCTGAGAAGTGGTTATAAAATAACATGCCCCTCAGACCCGACTCCTTTGACAGACCCAGAGGTCACCCTGGGCAGTGACCAGAGGTCCCTGCACCTGGCCCCACTTGGACTGAGGACGTTCAGGCTGGACTCTCTGGCCCCGAGGCTGTTTCTTTACACTGGGGAAAGCCCAACCCTATCTAGAAACCCTAGACAAGAACTTCCAAGTGAAGTTTAAACTGAAATATGTGGTGTCTGTGAGGCGGCGGCCTGGCACCATGGTCCTCACCCTTTGGCTGACTCAGTCCATATAAACTCTCTCCACAGCCCCCACAGAGCCTCCCGCCTGCCGAGGGCTGCTGCAGGCGTGCCCAGCGCACCTGACTTAATGGTGACAGGGACTGTGGAAATGCTCCAGCCCTGCTCATTTTTTTCCAGAAGGTCCTCAAAAGCCACCCTTTCTCTCCCATAAAGACTGAGGTCCTTGGACAACACTGTAGTCCACAGGTGCACCCCAGAGTCGATGACCTAGACTACATCTCCAGCTATGACCCGAGTGGCAGAGTGGGATGAGTGCTACTAGTGCTTGGAGCTACACACTGGCTGTGGGACCCCAAGGCATCACTGAGCCCTGAGCTCTCTGGGCCAGCCTTGCAGGTTTCCTGTAACACTACAAACCTGACTGCCCAAACAGGAGTGCTCTGAGGGGCTGGCCATCCCCAGTCAGGCCAGCGGTAAGCTCAGCCGTTCACACAGCCCATCTCCCCAGCCTGGTGTGAAATGAAGACCTAGGAAGCTGGCTCCCCAGCTGTGAGGGGCCCTCTGGCCAAGATGATTCCATGAATAGTGGTCAGTCATGATGGGAAGCTGTGTGCACTGAGCCTAAAGTCATTGCAGTGTTCCAGGTGCAGCCTCCTGAGGGTCTCAGAGCACCTGAGGGCCTTGACCCAGGTGGTGGGAAGACAGGCTGTGGAGCCAGCTTCCTGGTTCACATCCTGCCTCTACTACTCAGTAGCTGAGTGACCTCAGGCAAGTTACTTAATCTCTCTGCACCACAGCTTCCTCACCTGAGAACCTGGTAGTAAGAGCACCTACTCATAGTAGGGCTGCAAGACAGCATAAAGCACTTCTTCGTGTTAGTGGCTACTTTACAAGGCACCACCGCAAACCTCCCCATGCAATACTGCCATGATCTGTTCACCTGCCCTTCTTCTAAGTGGGGAGCCTGTGAGGGATGAGGAGGTTGGACCCTTCCCTGAGTTTCCATATCTGGCTGTAGGCTGGGCACCAAGCAGGACCAGTGAATCTTGCCCAAGTGAACCCATCCAAGCACACTGGAGGCCCTCCTGCCCCAGGAGGCAACGCACCGCTTCAGAGCGGAGATGTTCCTGTGTGGCCGGATGGGTCTCAGCAGGGCCTTGTCCTCCAGGAAGCCCTCGCTGTCCAGCAGCTGCCGCATGGCCAGGTTGGCCAGCTGCTCCATGAGCTTGAAGGTCTCACTGATGTTGAGGAACATAGAGAAGAAGAGTTCCTGGTCCCGGGTGTCCACACGGATGCTCTCAGGGAAAAGCAGGGTGGCATTCTTCTCCAGCCGTGTGACATCCACCCACTGTACCACGAGGCTCACTGGACATGCAGGCAGATACATCACCGGTTACTATGGGTAGGGGGCTCTGCGAGGGGGCTCCGACTCCCACCTGCACCTGGACCCACCAGAGGGCCTGCTGGCTCCACTGGGACACAGGCTCTGTGAGGAGAGGCTGCCTGCCAGGTCTCCAAAGCATCCCAGCCCCACCCAGCACCTGGCCCAGGAACATACTCTGTAAGCATGTGCTCAGGTAGAGAGCGAAGATGCAATGAGTGTAGGCACAGAGGTGAACTAGAGAAGATCCTCGTCCCGAGAAGCTTAAAAGTCACAACAGGGTAAGACCAGCAGAGAGAGGACAATCTCCCCCAGACCCCAGAGAGGACTGGCATCCAGGTCTTGACAAGTGAGAGGCATGCTGCCAGGTGAGGAGGACGAGAGCAGGCAGAGGGAGGCTGTGTGCCGAGGTGGAAGGAGCGCTTGCTGGGCTTGGGAAATGGCAACTACCCGCAACAGTCAAAGCCCTGGGTGCTTTTTTGGGGAGTGATAGTGGCAGGAGGGAGCTGACAGTGTGGTAAGGGGCCCAGGCTGCGAGGCTGGTGGGGGGGCTTGTCTGCATCCTGAGACCAGGGTTTCCCAGAGGAAGGGACCTGCAGAAGGGGACTGCAATGGCACAGAGACAACGCAGAGGGTCACCTGGAATCACACAGGGAAACGTATGCCCTCGAACACACCGACTTAAAGGAAAAAGAGGAAGCCCTTTAAAGACAGTTCTATGTAGAGCATCACCCTAGTGGGCTACAGAAATGCTAAGAGCTCCAGGAGCCAGGAATCCCAGGCTCAAGTTTGGGTGTTCTGGCTGTGGGCTGCTGAGGGGAGACCACCTCTGGTGGCTGTGTGGGGGCCGAGAAGAGGAAGACTCCACCACTTTCTGGAGATGAGGCCAGGGGGTGAGGGGCAGGGAGAGGTGTGGGGACCAGGTGGACAGAGGGGCGCCTTCACCACAATTCTGGCATGGTGCCCCCTGCCCTCCCTACCCTGTGAACACCTGGCATGTGCTCACCTTCCTTCCCCAGCAGGAAGGAGTAGAAGCACATGTGGTTGACGGTGAGGTAAAGCCAGCCCTGTCGGGGCACGCGGCCCTTCCAGTAGCTGCAGGAGTAGTAGTTGACCAGTTTCTCCCCCTCAGGCATCCCGAACTGCTTCCGCATCTTCAGCTCAGCCTCCTTGAACTTCCCAGGGTCCTCGTCTCCCTGGGGCTGCAAGTTCTTGTTTTCCTCGGCAATGATACCCTGGAGGGGACGAGAGGGCTTGGCTTGCCAGGGAATGTTCCCTGAGATGTGCCATGCAGCAGAGATGGCCAGTCAGGGTGGGGATCAGGGAGGGCCGGGACACCGGATGGGACCCAGGACTCTTGGGCCCCCGTCTCAGGGGAATGAGAACAGGTGGACATGAAATTGGCCACTCCAGGGGACAAAGCAGCTACACTTGGGCTGGTCTGTGGTCACGGCACATGGACGGATGAACAATGAACAGACATCCTCTGCCTGTGTGACCGGGCAAGTTCCCTCAACTCCCTAAACAGAGATCTGTTCGTTAGGACAGGGCAAGCATCTGCAACACAGAGGGGCCAGCCCAGCAGGCTGGGCACTTTGTCATGTTTTTGAAAGATGTCTGAAGAAAATTAAAAAACAAACAACACCACCACCAAAAAAAACTATTAAGAAGATTAAATGGTCACACAATGGAAATGAAGTCTTGATACATGCTATGACACAGATGAACCTTGAAAACATTATGTTGAGTGAAATAAGTTAGTCACAATAGGACAAATACTATATGATCTCACTTGTATGAAATATCTACAATAGGCAAATGCATAGAGACCAAAGTTTATTAGTGATTATCAGGGCAGGTGGGAGGGGGAAATGGGCAGTTATTACTTAAAGGGCACTGAGTTTCTGTTCAGGATGATGTAAAACTTAAAAATGTGACCCTAATACTCGCCAGCATTATTTTCTCCTTTTCAAAACGGGTGACTGAGAGGTTGACATAACTAACACCATGATGAATCTGTTTTTCTTTTTTCTTTGCCTTCTCCTTTTTGCATACCTTTGTTAATGGCTTTGTTTCCCTCTGTCCAGCCACCTGTGGCTTACTACCCACCACAGAAGATTAGAGCCCAGATGTCAGATATGTATATCTTTAGCTCGATAAGGAAATGTATGGTGGGTATCTTTTTAGTATGATAAAGAGTCTCTTGTAATTGCCTTGTAATGAATAACCAACACCTCTAACCTTTGTAAAAAAATCATACATAAATTCTCATGTAAAAATGCCTTTTGGGACTCCATAGAGACATCCTGCATTGCTGTCGGATCCCTGGTGGTGGACACCTCCTAAAATGAAACTTTCCCACTCTTTCTGACTTGGAGTACGTTTCATCGGCTTGACTGCTCCAGGGCATGGACCCTATTCAGGTCAGAAAAATGGATAGTGGTGATGGCTGCACAACATGGTGAATATAATTACTACCACTAATTTGTACACTTAAATATGCTTAAAATGGCAAAAGTTTTGTTATAGATGTTTTATCACAGTAAAAAAAAATTTTTATCACAGGGGTCCTTATAAGAGGAAGGCAGGAGGGTCAGAGTCAGAGAAGGGGATGTGACAAACAGAATGAAAGAGAAATTGATTGATTTGAAGATGTTAATGCTGCTGGCCTTGAAGATAAAGGAAACGGCTGTGAGCCAACGAATACAGGTGGCCTTTAGAAGCTGAAAAAGGTAAGAAATTAAGGTGATCGCTAAGCCGCATTCCTGCCCCCACAATAGGGACAGGATATACTGGGGCTTCAGATCAGGACTGTTTGACTAAGACTATTTCTTTACTGCAGGCTATACCGGGGCTTCCCATCAGGACTGCTTGACTAGCATTGACTATTTCTTTACTCTTTATATTGTTTTAACTTCAGGAAATTCTGCAGATAACGGTCACAAACAAGTCCCAGGAGAACTGGTGCCAAACCACCAGGCAAGCACAGATAGATGAGAAAACTCACGCCAAAGAACCAAAAGACTCATGTCAAGTAACGAAAAGTCACCGGACTTACGTCACTGGGCAATAGCTGAGCCCATTTCAAAAGCAAAGGGTCGTCGGTCAGTCACTTCCTGCTGATTCCTAGCCCTGCCCCACAATGAATAATCAGCAAGGAACTGTGAATATGTATAACCTCCTGATTCTGCTAACTGTAACAGTCCCATAAACGCTGACCCCCACCCAGTTTCAGGGCGCCATCTTGGCGATGCAGGTCCTGGTGAGCTCCTTTACTTGGCCAACTATCACCTCGCCTTAACAGCCATGTACGCTTCTCCGCTTCTCCGTTTAGACAGGCTGCGCCGAGTGGGACCGGGACCTGATCTGGTCCTATTCTGGCTCAGGCAGTTACAAACTGGATTCTCTTCTAGAGCCTCCAGGAAAACCAGCCTGCTGACACCTTGATTTTAGTCCAGTGGGAGCCATTTCAGTCTTCAGACCTCCAGAACTGTAAGAGAATTTGTGCTGTTTGAAGCCACTAAGTTTATGGTAATTCGTTGCAGCAGCAATGGAGAACTAATACACATTATTCTAGGAAAGTGTCCATTTTGTCTAAGTTTTAAAATTGGACTTTTAAAAAATTCTTTTTTAAAATTCTGCATTTTTTTCTTCAACAGATCTTTCTCATATTTCCAAAGTTCCTTATTTCAGGTCTCTAATTCCCTTGATCACTCTTGCCACAAGCTTGTTTATATTTGTCGTTTTAGATATGCTGCTCTTTTCTGCTGTTCTCTTGTTTCTATGGAATCAATTTCTGCCCTTTATTACTTCCTTCTTTCTGATTTCCAAGTTTATCTGTAGTTCTTTTTCTAATTTACTGAATCGAACACTTGGGCCGCTATTTTTCACCTTTTCTTGTTTTATAATATAACATTTAAGACTTTAAATGCTGCTTTATGGGCTGCTTCAGCTGCATCCCACAAATTGTTATGTAGTTGTATTTCAATTATCATTCAGTTTAAAATATTTTCTAATTTCCATTTCTTCTCTGACCCAAGCCATTTAGAACTGTTTTGTTTTGTTGATTAGTTTGTCTGGGCCAGGGAGTCAATATTACTGTTATTATTGTATTTTAATTACTATTGCCCTAATTGCCCTCCGGAAGAGGCGAGGCCTACCTCCACCCTCTCTGCCTGTTTTCATGGAGCTTCAGGCAACACAGGGCCCTCCCTGGCCCCAAAGTACATAGAGAAGAGCTGAGACTCTCGGCGCCTCTTGTCCTGTCTACAAAGTTCTGGTATAATGAATTCCAAAGAGCCTGCCCAAAGCAGCTTTGCACCATGCAGCTCTGACCTTCTCAGGAATCTAATCTAAGGCGATAATCTAGCAGAAAGTAAAACACACACCCACTCAGATAAATGTTCATTACAGTGATTATCCTCAAAAGAGAAAATGACCTAAGTATCACAGTGAATATGTTTTTACACAGTGAAATAATTTTCATAGAAACTTGGGTGACAGAATTTTGCAAGACCAATAACTTCTTCACTGCAGATACCTTTTTTCAACAACATAAATGGCAACTATACACGTGGACCCCGCCAGATGGAATACACAAGAACCAAATTGACTACATCTGTGGAAAGAGATGAAGCAGCTCAGTATCATCAATCAGAACAAGGCCAGGGGCTGACTGTGGAAAGACCATCAACTGCTCATATGCAAGTTCAAGTTGAAGTGAAAGAAAATTAAAGCAAGTCCATGAGAGCCAAAATATGACCTTGAGTATATTCCACCTGAATTTGGAGACCGTTTCAAGAATAGATTTGCTGCACTGAACACTAATGACCGAAGACCGGATCAGTTGTGGAATGACATCAAGGACATCATATGTGAAAAAAGAAAAAGGTCATTAAAAACACAGGAAAGAAAGGAAAAGACCAAAACAGATGTCAGAAGAGACTCTGAAACTTGCTCTTGACCATACATAGAGTAGCTAAAGCTAACAAAAGAAATGATAAAGTAAAAGAACTGAACAAAAGATTTCAAAGGGCAGCTCGAGAAGACAAAGTAAAGTATTATAAGGAAATGTGTAAAGACCTGGAGTTAGAAAACCAAAGGAACACACTTGGCATTTCTCAAGCTGAAAGAACCGACGGAATTGGAATGTTGAAGGATTCTATGGGCAAAATACTGAATGACACAGGAAGCATCAAAAATAGATGGAAGGAATACAAAGAGTCACTGTACCAAAAAGAACTGGTTGATGTTCAACCACTTCAGGAGGTAGCATATGATCAAGAACCAATGGTATTGAAGGAAGAAGTCCAAGCTGCACTGAACGGAATGGCAAAAAATAAGGCTCCAGGAAATGATGGAATACCAACTGAGATGTTTCAACAAATGGATGTAGATGCTCACTCATCTATGTTAAGAAATTTGGAAGACAGCTTCCTGGCCAAACGACTGGAAGAAATCCATATCTGTGCCCATTCCAAAGAAAGGCGATCCAAAAGAATGCAGAAATTATCGAACAATATCACTAATATCACACACAAATAAAATTTTTCTGAAGATCTTTCAAAAGTGCAGCAGTACATCAACAGGGAACTTCCAGAAGTTCAAGCCAGATTCAGAAGAGGATGTGGAACAATGGATATCACTGCTGATGTCAGACAGATCTTGCCTGAAAGACACTAGACTGTGTGGATCATAACAAATTATGCATAACATTGTGAAGAATGCGAATTCCAGAACACTTAACTGTGCTCATGAGGAACCTGTACGCAGACCAAGAGGCAGTCATTTGAACAGAACAAGGGGATACTGCATGGCTTAAAATCAGGAAAGGTGGGCGTCAGGACTGTATCCTTTCATCTGTATGCTGAGCAAATTATCAGAGAAGCTGGACCATATGAAGAAGAAAGGAGCATCAGGATTACAGGAAGACTCATTAACAATGTGTGATATGCAGATGACACAACCTTGCTTACTGGAAGTGAAGAGGACTTGAAGTACTTACTGACAAAGGTGAAAGACTATGGCTTTCAGTATGGATTACACCTCAACATAAAGAAAACAAAAGTCCTCACAACTGGACCAATAAGCAATGTCATGATAAAACAGACAAGACTGAAGTTGTCAAGGATTTCATTTTACTTGGATCCACAATCAACACCCATGGAAGCAGCAGTCAAGAAATCAAACTATGTATTGCAGTGGGCAAATCTGCTGCAAAAGACCTCTTTAAAGTGTTAAAAAGCAACAATGTCACTTTGAGGACTAAAGTGAGCCTGACCCAAGCCACAGTATTTTCTATTTTCTTTTTTATTGTGCTTTAGGTAAAAGCTTACAATTCTAGTTTCTCATACAAAAATTTAAACACACATTGTTATGTGACCCTAGTTACTCTCCCTACACTGTGACAGCACCCTCCTCCTTTCCACCCTGGATTTCCCTTGTCCATTCAACCAGCTCCTGACCCTCTCTGTTTTCTCATCTCGCCTGCAGACAGGAACTGCCCATTTAGTCTCATGCATCTACTTGAGATAAGAAGCACACTCTTCACGAGTATCATTTTATGTCCCACAGTCCTGTCTAATCTATGCCTGAAGAGTTGTAAGCCATGGTATTTTCAATCGCTTCATATGTATGTGAAAGCTGGACAATGAAAAAGGAAGTCCAAAGAAGAATTGATGCCTTTGAATTATGGTGTTGGCGAAGAATATTGAATATACTATGGACTGCCAGAAGAACGAACAAATCTGTCTTGGAAGAAATATAGCCAGAATGCTCCTTAGAAGCACGGATGGCAAAGATTTTGTCTCACGTTTTTGGATGTATTATCAGGATGGACCAGTCCCTGGAGGACATCATGTTTGGTAACATAGAAGGTCAGTGAAAAAGAGGAAGACCCTCAATGAGACGGACTGACATAGTGGCTGCAACAATGGGCTCAATTAAGCATAACAACAAATGTGAGGATGGTGCACTACTTGGTGGTGTTTCCTACTGTTGTACATGGGGTCGGTGTGAGTTGGAACAGACTCGACGGCACCTGACAACAACATAACTGTCATAATCATTATTTTGATGGCTGCAAAATATTCAACTAAGCATACCATATGTGACTTAGCCAGTGTCCTGGATATGAAATGTTTAGCATAGTAAGCAAACAGAATCTAAAAACCCAAACCAGTTGCCGTTGAGTCAATTTGAACTCCTGGCGACTCCATGTGTGTCAGCGTAGAACTGTGTTCCATATGGCTTTCAATGGCTGATTTTTCAGAAGATCACTAGGCCTTTCTTCCAAGGTGCCTCCGGGTGGACTTGAACCTCCAAGTGTGCTAACCGCTTACACCACCCAGGGACTCCAAGTATACAAAAGTACTCAAGACATGTTAGCAAAGTATTAGTACTCTCATTTTTCAGAGGAGAGAACAGCTGCTTTCCTCTCTTATCACGTAACAGGAGACGCTGTTTGGTCTTCTTGCTAATATAGTGCTACAAGAGAACACCCTGATACATACATGCCATTTTGCACACATGAATCTACTATAGGGTAAATTCCAAGGAATGGAATTGCTGGGTCAAAGGGCATGTGCATTTAAAATTCATGTTAGTTTTATAATACACGCATACCCCAAAATATCCTATCCTTTCCAGCTTCTTGCTCAATTAGTCAAAGAACAGGTAAATAGAGTTGCATATCTGTGTATCTGTTCTAAGACACTCTGCAAAGAATAGAAACTTCAAACTAAGCTTTAGCAAGACCACAGTGGCTGGTTGGGATAAGATCCTTCATAGGCAAAGTTCAACTGTCCCCTTTACTTCTAAGGGGCTCTCCCAGCCTCTGCTGAACACCTCCAGTGAATAAGAACTCACCACCTCAGTTTCCACCTCTGCAAAATGGGGGTGAAACCTACACCATGGCTGTTTTAAAGATTAAATAAGATGACCTATGAAAACACCATCAGAGAAGGGGAGTGATCACTGTCAGCTGAATGGGAATCTTACGTGTATCTTGCCCTTGATAAAGGTGGTGATATCTTCTTCATTGTCAAAGATGGACAGTGTCTGGAGCAAGTTATTTTCCAGCCATTCCCAGTGTTTGGTGATCTCTTTGCGAGAAGAACCTAGGGGAGGTTTGGTGAAGTAAAGAAAAGGAAAATCATACAATCACCAGGCTTTAAACATGAATTCAAAGAAGAGAGATTAAAATGAGCGACCTAATTTGCTCTGTTCAAGTGCCTAGAATCTTCAAGCTACTTACTCTTTCTCTCTTAAATGTTATATAGATCACAAAAGTAATACATGGTCTTGGTAAAAAACCAAAAAATAAAAAAAAATTCAAGCCGAATAGTAGAGAATCACCAAGAAAGTGAAGCTTCCATTGCTCCCCAGCCCCAGGAGAGCTGTTATTAGATTTCTACATGTCATCCAGAAAATAGTTCATGCGCTTGCAAGCTGCTTACTTAAATAGATTTTTCTTCAAGTTGAAAGACTATCTGTGCTTCCTCTGACACTTGGTTAATGTGATTCTGGCCCTCCCCTGACGACTCGGGTGTCCAGGGTGTCAGCTGGAACTTCCTGCAGGACTCCAGGCTCCTGGCACTGGCTTCCTGCTGGCTGGACAGGCAGCTATTGGCCATCTCCCTAAAGCAAGGTGTGCCCACTCAGGCCTTCACCTGCAATGCTCCTCCTCCCCATCCTGGCTCACATTCCAGCCCACTCCTGCCTCCTCCAGGAAATCCTTGCGTGACCCCTTCAGCCTCTCCTGGCTGGCCCTCTCTCCTTGTGTCTGCCCTACCTAGTGGGGGTTCCTGTCCACCTCAGGGAGGGGCCCTGTGGACAGGAAAAGACTGGGACAAGGCAGCTGAGCACCATTCCCAAAGGACAAGGCCACTGTCTTTTCTCTTCCCATCCAGGAATTGGGAAAGCGGCCCGAGGTGGGAAGCATACTGACCAGGGTTGTTTTCTGCCTGACCCAGCTTCCCCCTACCCTCTAGTACCCCACGGCATTTTGCATGTGTCTGGCATGGGGTCTGCAGACAAGCACTGCTTTCTGAATGAACGAGCATGAGAATAAGAAAAGGAATGGTATCCTGCACCCTTCTCTAACCGTCCTGGTGAGGGACAGTCCACGGGCCAGGAGTGACCAGGAGGCCAAGTCTTTTACGTGACACCCCGTAAGGCCGTAACACTCGGCCTGGAGGGAGCCTTTGCAGAGGAATGAGGCCAACATGACTGCTGAAGGCAGGCATGTTAGCTGGGGACTTGACTCTTCACCACCCCACCCTGCCTGTCTGGCAACACTTCCACCATGCTGATGACTTAGCCCAGACTGTAGCCCTACCCGCCTGCCCTGACACTCCTGACTGCCAGCCCTGACTACCATCCTGATGCCCCGGCCATCTGCTTCAATGCCTGCAGGGCCAGTCATGCCATCGCCCCCAGGCCCTGCCATCTGTTCATGGCTCTGCACAGCCCCGTGGTCTCTGTTAGGGCTGATTTGTTTTTTCTTTACCTTGGCTCAAGCGACTCACGACCCTAACAAAAAATTCCACAGGAATATCCTCCCTCCACTGGCCAAGAGGAGGATGCCCACGTGAAAACTATGAAACCCGGAATCACATACAATTTACGGTGAGTCACAACTGCCAATCAAAATTATACTGAAAATCTCTTAAATCATCCATCAATAACCTTTGCTTTTCATTTTCCTTTGCATTTCTGGAAACCCTGGTGGCGTAGTGGTTAAGAGCTATGGCTGCTAACCAAAAGGTCGGCAGTTCGAATCTACCAGGTGCTCCTTGAAAACCCTATGGGGCAGTTCTACCCTGTTCTATAGGGTCACTACGAGTTGGAATAGACTTGATGGCAATGGGTTTGTTTTTTTTTCTTTTTTTTGGTTTGCACTGCTACCATGGCCTCCTCCTCCTGGTGCCTGGAGGTCAAGGTCTGGTTGGTAGCCATGGAAGGAATTTTTTTTCTCTCTCTATCCGTCAAGAACCCATGTTTGAATTCGGAAGTTAAATCTGCACGTGCTGCAACTCTACTGTCTCGTTTCCTTGCACACACACGTTCCTGGCAAGCTAAAAACAAATCTTGCGCACACTGCTGTGTGGGTTTGTCTGCACTTTAATTGTCAATATTGATACATGTGCTTTAAAATAGTTATTAGTTAAAAGTAACTCAATCTTCATTTAATATTAAGTAAACACCTAAACTATGCCATTGCTATGCTAGGTGCTGGGAAGCCATAAAAACATAATAACTAATTATTACGTGCTACATTTTGTGTTCATAATTTTTCACAGACTATCTTATTTAATTCTTAGAACTCCTCAGAGACAGGTACCACTGTTTTCATTTTACAGGATGAAGCTGAGGCACAGAGAGAGGTTAAGTAATTTGCCCAAGGTCACACAGGTAGGAACTAACCAACCCCAGACTGTCTACCCTTGCCCTCAGGGACCTCCTGGTCTAATGTGAGACACAAGGAGCCTTCAGTGTAGAAGTGCTGGCAGGGACATATGAACTCTACAGGAGTAGGAAGGCAGGGTGTGGGTTTGGGGGATCTGGGAAAGCTTTCCACAAGAGGGAACATTGGGCAGCATCTCAACAGAGTAGAAGGAGCAGGTCAGGAGGACAAGGATGGCCTTCATGCCCCAGAACCCTGCATGCACATCAGCCAGGAGGGTGTGGTTGTGAAATTCAGGCCCCTCCAGGTGGTCTTGTTTGGCTGAGGCCAGGGTGTGAGCTGGAGAGACCCCTGGAAGTCCTTAAATGCCAAGCTAGGGAGTGCAGGATTCATTGGGCAGGGGCCAGCAGGCACGCTGGGTTTTGGACTGCTCCTGGGGCCCAGCTGTTGGGGAAGGAGACATGGGCAGAGGCGTGGCGGGACATGAACCAGGGTTGTGGCTGTGGGTCCAGCAGGAGTGGAAGGAGGTCAGTGTGAGAGCTGGAAGGCTAAGGACTTGGGCTTCTCCGCGCAGCTGGGCTTCTAGCCTGGCACCAGGCTAGCTGCTGGTCACAGGGATGCCCACACAGCATGCCATGCTCTCCTCTCTCCTACAGAGGGGCTTCCTTATTGCCACTGCCCTGTCCCTGTCTGTTCCCCACGGAGACAGAGGCGACTATCCCCAGGGCCAGTTTCAGAGTGAAGCATCTCCTTGCGGCCCAGGTACACACCAACTTCCCATCCCCACTCAGGCAGGACAACCTCCCTCTAGGCTACCCCTGTCCCTTACAACCCCCACAGGAAGGCCCTAGCCCTCCTTGATATCCCAGACACACTACTCAGGCTCTGGAACTAGCAGATCTGGGGCCTACCAGGCTTGGCTTTGAGCAAACTCACCTCTCTAAGCCTTCATTACACAAAGGGGGAAGGACACCTGGGCTCAGGGTGCCCATCAGGATGGCAGATACCGTGTGCCTGCTCAGCCAGGCCTAAACAAGCGCACCCTGGTCACCTGAGGCTGTTCCCAGGTTGCTGCTGCCCTGTGATTTACTCAAGGCCCTTGAGCCAGGGTACAGCTATGAGCTCTACCAACATCTGAGTCTCATCATCTCTTCCCAGGCCCCCAAGACAAACCATTTACCTGGAGACCAGTGACGCTGTGGCTTCTGGAACAGCACAGAGGTTACGAGCAGGTGTTCTGGATCTGGACTCGAGCTCTGTCTGACCTTGGGCAGTTCAGTAACCCCTCTATGCCAGAGTCTCCTCAGTTTCCAAAATAGGTCAACTCCACCTTCAGGAGTTGCTGGGAGGTTCACGTAAGTGCCTGGCCCACAGGAAGTGCTGTCTACGTGGCAGTTATCACTGCTATTTTATCAGAACACCCTTGGCCTGGCCAGTGACCACCGAAAGGGGACTTCCTCCCCAACCCTCAGGAAGGGTGGGTGTACTTCCTCCTGGGCGTAAGAATGTGGGCACTGCAGAAACCCTGACTGAGCATTCAGGGAGGCAGGCAGGTTTCCAGAACTTTGCTGCATCTGTCCTGTACTCATGAACATTCCTTCTGCTCCCCTCATGTGGGTGTGGGCTGTGCTGCCTCAATGGGCATGAGCCGTGGCAGCACAGGTTCTCAATAAGTGACTGCAGCCCAGGGATTCCTGCCTGCCAGATGCCCACCTCTTCCGGCACGCCCTGCCCACTCATGACCCCACCACCTACCACAAGCCACTGTCCAGTAGACCTGCAAGTCCTGGGTCTGGTGCAGAATGCGGTAAGGGGCCACGCGGGCACTGGAGTCCAGCACTACATCCAGGGTGCCAACGAGAAGACCTGGAGGCAGGCAGAGAGAGGCAGCAGGTGAGGTGAGTGGGCACCCAGCTGAAAGAGGCCCCTGGCTGGGGCACTGCCCTAAATGTACTAACCCAGGAGAGAAAGACAGACATCCTGAATCACCCCTTCAGCTAAATGACTTCTTTTTCCTCAAAGGCCTTCAGCCTTGGTCTGGTCACTACCAAAAAAGCCCCTCCTACTTCTTCCTGGAAGCTTCTGCTTCTGTTCCTCACTCAGAAACACCTGCAGGCAGGGGCAGATCCAGGTTTTATGGGCCCACAGCGTGAACAATTTTGGGAGGCCTTCTTTAAGAAAAATACAAAATTAGGTTTGAAAATGAATATTTCTTTTGAATGAGAAAGTACAACAAGTTCAAAATTAAAAACAAACAAGCAATACCACAAACATCCCAAAATCCAAAAAAATAACACAGTATTTTTTACTGCCAGACACAGCTCTTAAAATACGTTTTGCCCCTCTATTTTTGGCTGTGTACTCTCATTGCTTCTTTCTAAGACAATGATTTTTTAACATCATTTTCCACATAAAGAACAGAAAGATGAGGTAGTCTTGCTTCTGCCACAGGACCATATTTTTTCTTACTGAAAGTTTGGGGAAGTTTCTTTCAGCCTCAGAAGTCATGACTGAGAAGGACATGTACATTTTGAGAATTGTGAAATTTGGGAAAATACTGATCCAGTTTTTTCATCTCTGAGCTGAAGCATTTTAGGGCATTACAAGTTTTCCTTCTCCTCACATAGACCCTTTGGAGTGATGCCACATTAACCAGTTTGTGTGCAAGTGCTAAATTTTTTCAGTGTCACTATTTCCTGACAAATTAGTGGGAATATGTATTTTTCATCATTGAGTTTGTCTGATTCACTTCTCTTCACTAACTGAAATATCAAGCAATCTCAAAACCTGTTCATTGATCCTATTTGAAATTTATTTCTTTTAATGAAGTACTGCTTTTTGATATGATCTGAAAATATTTTATCATCTTCCTGTTGATGTCAAAATACTTTCTACTGATTTTGTCACTTGACTTTAACACTTTTTTTCATATTTCATTAATTTTTAATTTGATTTTTTTCTCTAGTCTTTAATAAATAAAATCAACAATTACAAGAGAAAGTACTCTTCACGTATATCCAAATTAGGAGTCTGTAATTTCTCAGTAGTTTTACTGAAATGATCTAAAATGTCTCTGTACATTGCAGTTAAAATGGCATATTCAAGCTTTATCAGCGTTTGGAATAAACTTTTTCATTGTTTGTGTTGGAGTTTTTCTTCTAGTCTTGGAAATTTTATTGTAGAGTCCTAAGATGTTGGCATATCCATGTTGCAATATTTGAAAAGTTACTCCATGGGCAGACCACCTTGTCACACTTAGATTCTTTAATGAAAAATCCAAGTTAACATTTGTCTTTAAAAGATAAACTTGAATAAAACCACAGAATTAACTGTTCCTCTCCCAGGAGAGTGTTCAGGAGACCAAGAGGCCTACTAAAGCATAAGGAAGGTCAAGCAGAGGGAGGCATGGTGAGACTGGGGGGGGGGGTGCTCAAGGAATGGTTCAGGGGATAGACAGAGATGAGTGAGGTAGAAAGGAGAACAAGAGGGAGGGCCTTCTCTGCATGAAGAAGGGTGCATTTGGAGGCACGGCCACACCTATGCCAGCACCCACCCATCCAGTGAGATGACCTATGGAAATGTGCCTAGCCTGAGACAAGTGCTCAACATACACTGGCCAAATGACACGCCAGATCTTGGTGTTAACAAAAGGTACCATTCACCTGGAGCCTCCACTTTCCAAAACAGGCCTGAAGCAGCTTCCAATGCTGACCACTGGTCTCTCCAAGGGGGCTGTCATATGACCGCCACTGACCAGCTTAGTCCAGGAGGCAGGCCCAGCCCTAGCTCCATGATTGGCACAGGCCCAATCAAGTGCAGAGCCCAGAGCACTGAAGGGAACACTGAGCTTCCTGAGGATGGTACAGCCTCTTCCACATTAAGAGGTGTGGCACTGGCAGCGCTCACAGTGGGAAAGCTCCATCTGCATCTGGCAGGGCTACATTAGGTGCTCACATTTAAAATGGGCATATCACAGGAGATTCTCTTGATAAATTGGGTGATCTGGCAACACTTGGCCCACATTCTTATACTGGAACTATCAGCCACCCCGAGGAACAGTTGATTCCTCTGGACAGGGCACCTGCACCCCAGCTGGCCACAGCCCCCACCAGCCACTTAATGCATTTATGTGACTGCCTGATGTCTGTCTTACAGGAAAGGGAGTCACAACACTCCAGATCTGAAATGACCCTATGTGAGGCATTCAACTTCTTTGGGGCTGACAGGGCAAAGTTAGGAGACCCTTCTTGTGCTGCACAGTGCTATGGCCGTTTTACTCCCTGGGCACTGGTGTCTCCCGAGGGCAGGCCTGTGCCTGACTCATCTCTGCACTGCCCAGAGCAGAGGCCTTGGACGCAGGCCCCCGACAGAGGGGCCTCAGACAACACGCTGAGGGCACACCCTGTCAGAGTTCCTTGGAGCCAACAGCCCCCACGACGCACACCTCCAGGTCCAGTCTCATCCTGTGTAAATGGTGTCCCACGACGTCCAAAGGGCACCTTGGCCCGCTCACCGGGGCACTGGATGCTGGTGACTGTCAAGGTCGAAACTCTGAAGGCACCAAGAAGCAGGAAAGGTGGTAAGGAGAAGCTGGAAGAAGGGGGCAGGTCGGGACCTCTGGTTTTGCTTACATGGCGATTCTTCGGTGAGGTGGGAATGAAGATGGGGGCAAAAGAAAACGTATGCTTGTGTCACTTCATTCTCTGGGGAACGTGGGGAAACTGAGGCGTCGAGGAAAAGGACAGGGAGATCTCATCGACTTTCAGCGGTGAAATCCCACTCGAGGACGCTCAGCACCACACGCTCGCCTCAGGCACGGAAAGCTCACAGAGGCAGAGTCTGACCAGAGGCCGCTGCCAGCCCCTTACCCGAGCCGCGCCGGGGTCGGAGAGACAGCCGAGCTTCCCAAGCAGTCTGCCGCGCGCGCTCGCCTTCCTCGCGCCCCGAGCCCGCCCCCCGCACTGACGTGCGCGCCCGCGGTCCGGCC